CGACAAGTGCGAGTTCGCACAGCAGGAGCTGGAGTACTTGGGACACTATGTGACGCCGCAAGGCATCCGTCCGCTTGCGGACAAGATCGAGGCCCTACGAGTATGGCCCGAGCCCACCAACACTACGGACGTTCGTTCATTCATGGGGTTGGCGGGCTACTATCAGCGATTCATCACCGGATACTCCAGGATTGCTACACCTATGACGAGGTTACAGTCGCCAAAGGTGCCATCTGTATTGGATGACGACGCACGCCGGTCATTCCAAGCACTTAAGACGGCTATGATCATGGCACTCGTCCTTAGCATCTATGACCCCACCCTGCTGACGCGAGTGACTACGGACGCTTCCGGCTATGGCATTGGGGCAGTCTTGGAACAGCACGACGGCGACGACTGGCACCCTATAGAGTATTTCAGCCACAAAGTGCCTCCCATCAACTCGCTTGATGATGCAAGGAAGAAGGAGCTACTCGCATTCGTGATGGCTCTCAAGCGCTGGCGGCACTTCCTCCTTGGGCGTCGTAGGTTCACATGGGTCACAGACAACAATCCATTGACCTACTACAAGACGCAGGACACGGTGAGCAGCACGATCGGACGATGGATGTACTTTATCGACCAATTTGACTTCACACCGAAACATGTCCTCGGCCTCTCCAATCGCGCAGCAGATGCACTCTCGCGAAGACCAGATCTTTGCGCTATGACACATCATGCCTTTGCATTCGACGAGGAGCTTCAGCGAGACTTCATCCGGGCATATCAATCTGATCCGGACTTCGGCACGCTCTATGCACAGCTATCTTCGGATCACCTGCCGGCCAGCCATTTCCGCATTGCCGATGGGTACTTGCTCCTCCACTCGAGAGGCAAGGACTGACTATGTGTCCCACGCGACCGTCGTCTTCGGACTCGCCGACCATTTCGGAGTCAACCGCACTATTGCACGGCTTCGACAGCGATTCCGATGTCCCGACCTCATTACCGATGTCACTCGGTATTGCGGCTCTTGCGAAGTTTGCCGACGCAGCAAGCCCCACAACCGCAATCCCTACGGCGAGTCACACCCGATGCCTATCCCATGGGAACCCGGTCTCTCCATTGCCATGGACGTCACCGGTCCGTTTCCTCGCGACCGGCTCGGGCACGACGGCATCCTCACGGTTGTGGACCGATTGAGTAAGTACGCGCGTTTTCYCCCTTGCAAGTACTACTCCACGGCTCCCGAGCTGGCACGCCTCCTGCACACTGGTTGGATTTGTGGCCACGGTGTACCAAAAGACATTGTCAGCGACCGCGACACTCGTTTCGTGTCGGCGTTTTGGACTGCTCTCATGCAGGAGTCCGGCACAACAATGAAACCAA